TAAAACCTAATAACCAGTTCGTGCGTTTAGAATTTTCGTAGTGCTAAAGCATTCTCATAAATAAAATTGCTTCCTGGAAAGAGGTAAAAGAATCTTTTTCTCATCGATCTATCCAAGCTTTAGTCCTTTTCAGGATTCTGGCACAAGTGTAACTAAGGGCATCTCCAAGGACCCATAAAACACTCGTATATGTTCGGCTGGAGACGTTTGTTTACTTTGGTAATTTAATTGGGATCATCTATATCGGTCTGTAAAGTTGTTTGGATGTTTAAATTCCGGTATTTTCCAAACAAACATGGAAATTTTTTGTCGGAGTCCAGACATGCAGTTGACCAATCACATGCATGGTCTTTCTTCTCTCTGCTTTCAACTGGATACTAAGAGGATGTTTGTTTCCAGGGATTTATTGATCTAGGAACTTAAATAAGTCCCTATAAGTCTCATCTAAACCAAACAGGAGAGACTTACAGGGACTTAAAGTGGGCATTTGGGACTTATGAAGTAAGACTCTTAAGGAGGGACTTATAGGGACTTATAGTTGTAATATGGTCTTATAGAGACTTATAAGTTCCAGGAATCAAACAGGTAGGGACTTTTTAGGGACTTGGGACTTATAAGTTGGGACTAAAAAAAGTCCTAAGACTTATGAACCAAACAGGGACTAAATCACAAATATCTCATCACATGTATGGTCCTCACCTACTTTTTTACCTCTCAGTCGAATACTTTGTAATTAGCGTTGGATGGTTCCCTTCCATCTCATGTTCGCGGACCACGTCCGGACACAAAAACGGATATATACCGGAGGAATTTGCGGGTCAACATTAGAGATGCCCTAACCGGCACACAAAGTTGAGAATGAAAAGTTAAAACATGCATGCGTGCTGCACGTACGGATTTGGAGAATGAAGAGAGGCGCTGGTGCAATCTTGTACTCCCTCCGTTTCTAAATATTGAATTCTCTAAAAAGACATATATTTAAAATAAAGGAAGTAATTTTCTGAAGATATACAATGTTTTAATAGAAAAGTTCTAAACGGGATGCTGATAAAGGAAAGGGTTCTGCTAGTCGCCAGGTCGACCGGTCGCCTCGCATCGTTCGATTCAGTTCGTAACGTCCGTTGGATCCATGGTTCCGCAACATAATATAAGTCAACGCTTGCAGTGTCGTCCCCCACAGAGGAGGAGGACAAAAAAAGTTTAAGGCGTGACGAACCTTTAAGTAAACAACTTCATCTGAATATATGCTCAAAAAAAAAAACTTCACGTGAATCCTCAGAAGAATAACCAAATATAGGAGAATAATAAAATCACTAAGCCAGCCACCAAACATCTTGTTGCGTAACTCGGTCATGATTTTCAAGAAGTTAACTATGAAAAGGCGTTTGCACCTGTTGCTCGACTCGAGACGGCGAGGCTGATCCTAGCTATGGCAGCACAAGAGGATTGAATGGTAACGCTTAAGCACGGTAAATTGGTTATGTACTGTCAAAGAAAATATATCCAAAAAGGTGCAAATTGCATGTGTCATAAAAAAATCTCTGTTCAGTTTTCTGATGGCAAGTTAGGAAAAGTTCTATCAAGAGTAAACCACTGAGATAATCGATCAGATCGTTGTGTAGTGGACGCAGTTAGACGTGCATGTGCTAGACAACATATCAATCAAGTTACATGATGATGACATCAATACCATTGTTGCACACACAGCCCCTGCTACTATACATATTGGACCAACTACTAGAGCTCGTGCACGCCAATTAAATTACCAGGTACTTTCGTTTCTTGGTAATGATTCTAATGTTCATGAGAATATGATGCCGCCTAAATTGAATACATTTGTTTTGCTTACAAATGAAGGGCCTAGCTTGGAGAAGGATGAACATTGGAGCAAAAACAAGCATGGAGATGATGGCATGCGCAAGGGAAACAAGAATGGAGTTTCAAGTGATGATTTCAGGACTTTGAAGCCACCGTGATGAGTGCATGAAGTCTTGAACGAAATATACAAGATGCCACTTCACAAATTTTGTCTAGAGGCTATTATAGGTGTTGCGTCACCATATTATTGGGCTAGACCCGTGTAATTTTGAAATAAATAAGTATAACCTGTTTTTAGAGTCCATACGTGTGGGGAAACAAGAGATAGGGTTGGTTTCAGACCCCCTCCCCCAAGGGCCACGAAATTCCCCCCTCTTCCTCCATATATACAACCCTTAGGGCGTCGTTTAGATTTTGGGTTTTGTTTAGATTAAAAGTTTGCCATAGCTGTAACTTCGCGTACTTCGTTTGTGTTCAACGACCAGACCAAGACGTCACAGAACCCCACCTTGATCAATAAAGCTTTCATCTTATATGCATAATATCCAGATTGCAATCTCAGTTTCTTGCTTGTTCTTCTTTGCTTGCAGGAAATAGACCCTCGTGATCAGGTTGATTGTGCTCTGGCGTAGTCAATAACCCTCAGGAGTTGGTTTAGCGACTGCTAAGGCGCGACGTCTTCACACGTTCGTAGTCGGATCGTCAAAGTCGACTCGCACAGAAAGCGACAGTTATCTCATCGAAACATCGGGACACCTTCGCCTCTATCACTACCTGGTCGTGTGCTTCCTAGCTTTGCATATGCGTGCGCTGTGCTTGGCAGCACATCAATCAACCTCCGTGCTTGTGTACTTGTTTGCACATACATGACTTGCGCTTGGCTAAGGGTCTAACAAATAATATATGTATAGGTATAAAAAAGTTTTGGCACAAAATCAAGGGGTGGCGGCAGCCACACCTTGTCCACTAGAGTCACAATCTTCTCCTTTCATCAAAGGAGTAGGTGAAAGAGCCTAGAAAGGCAAAATGGGTTAAAAAGTAGGTTCGATTCTTGCCGGATGCACTGCCTCTTAAAGACAGTCCTCCGATAGTGGTTCCTCATCCCAACATAGCCCAGCTCTGGCAAGGCCGTTCCCCTCGCAAATCGCCGCCCACAACGCTTACAACCGACGACACCCTCTTTGCCACATTGGTAGATGACGCTCTCAGGATGTATCGTCCTTGTAGCACCTCTGTAACGCCCTCGATGCGGCTATATCTCCCACGTGTCGAAGCACGACTTAGAGGCATAACCGCATTGAAAGCAATGTCGCAAGTGAGGTAATCTTCACACAACTCATGTAATACATAGGGGAAAAAGATACATAGTTGGCTTACAATCGCCACTTCACACAATTACATGAATAAAGCATTACAACATCCAAATACAATCAAGGTCCGACTACGGAACCAAAATAAAGAGCAACCCCAAATGCGACAAGGTCCCCCGATCGACCCCAACTGGGCTCCACTACTAATCAACTAGAAACGAAACAAGTCAAAGGACAAGATCTTCATCGAGCTCCTCCTTGAGCTTGGTTGCGTCATCTGCACGGTCTCATCGGCACCTGCAAGCTAGTTTTGGAAGTATCTGTGAGTCACGGGGACTCAGCAATCTCACACCCTCGCGATCAAGACTATTTAAGCTTATGGGTAAGGTAAAAGGTATGAGGTGGAGCTGCAGCAAGCGACTAACATATATGGTGGCTAACATACGCAAATGAGAGCGAGAAGAGAAGGCAAAGCACGGTCGATAAAAGTATGATCAAGAAGTGATCCTAGAACAACCTACGTCAAACATAACTCCAACACCGTGTTCACTTCCCGGACCCCGCCAAGAAGAGACCATCACGGTAACACACGCGGTTGATGTATTTTAATTAAGGTCAACTTCAGGTTTTCTACAACCAGACTTTAACAAATTCCCATCTGCCCATAACCGCGGGCACGGCTTTCGAAAGTTCAAATCCCTGTAGGGGTGTCCCAACTTATCCCATCACAAGCTCTCACGGTCAACGAAGGATATTCCTTCTA